AGTGGACTCAATTTGCACTATTTCTGGCAGTCTGCAACCCCCTATTGTGGTTTTAGTCTTTCTTGGAGGGGCAAACTCAGAAGGTGGTGTTGGGGGACTCCTGTTCGACTCTCTAGCTGTTGGCTGCGGGGTCCTTCAGGGTTCTGTTTTGTCCTCTGTGTTATTTAATATCTACATGAAACCACTGGGAAATGTCATCTGGAGTTTTGGGGTGTAGTGTCACCAGTATGCTGATGACACCTAACTGTCTCTCCTTTCCATCTGATTCCAAGGAAGCTATCTCTGTACTGGACCAATGTCTGCTGTCAGTAATGGACTGGGTGAGGGCAAACCAATTGAAACTTAAACCAGACAAGACAGAGGTGCTCCTGGTCAGTTGTAAGGCAGATCAGCGAACAGGGACTTTGCTTGTGCTGGATGGGATTACACACCGCCTGAAATCTCAGGCTTGCAGCTTGGGTGTTCTCCTGGTTCAACTCTGAGCCTGGATACCCAGGTTTCAGTTTCAGCAGTGGCCAGGAGTGCATTTGCACAGTTAAAATTAGTGTGCCAGCTGCACCCATTTCTTAAGATGATAGATCTGGCTATGGTGACACATGCCTTGATTACATCCCATTTGGACACTGCAACACACTGTACTGGTGGCGCAGTGGTTCAATGCCTGTACTGCAGCCACTCACTCATAGACCACAAGGTTGCAAGTTCAATACTAGCCAGGGCTCAGGCTAGACTCAGGCCTTCATCCTTCCGAGGTCGCTAAAATGAGTACCCAACTGTTGGGGGGCAATGAGCTTACAGTTGTAAACTGCTTAGACATCCCATATGAAGTGGTATATAAATGAAATTAAGCTGCTACATGAGGCTGGTTTTGGAAACTGGAAACTTCAGTGTGTCCAGAATGCCATGGCCAGAATGCTGACCAATGCCAGTTATAGGGAGCATATAACTCCCTTGTTGAAAGAGCTCCACTTGTTACAGGTTCATTTCTGGGTACAATTCAAAGTGCTGAATTGTACCCTAAACAATCTTAGATCCAGATTATTTGAAGAACCGTATCTCCTCATATGAACATGCCAGAATATTAAGATATTCGGAGGAAGGCCCTATCTCGGTCCCACCATCATCATAGGCTCGCTTGGTGAGGATACGAGAGAGAGACTTCTCAGTGGCTGCTCCCACCCTCTGGAGCTCCCTTCCACAGGAGGCTAGGTTGGCCCCGTCCTTGCTTGTCTTTCATTAGCAAGCTAAAAGCCTAAGCAGACTGCCAGAAATAGTGCACATTAAATTGAGGCACTGCCCTGGCTCAGTGCTAGGGAATCATGGGAATTGCATTTTTTTCTGGGACATTGAGCCTTCTCTGTCAGAGAGCTCTGGTGCCACAATAAATTACAGTTCCCATGATTCCCGAGCACTGAGCCAGGGCAGTGCCTCAATTTAATGTGCACTATTTCTGGCAGTCTGCAAAGGCCCTAAGACATTTTTATTCAAGCAGGCATTCAACATATAATCATACCAGGATGGTGTTTATGAAGTATGTGTGTTTTTGTCATGCTTTTTAACTTTTGTATATTTTTATGTAATACTGTTTTTAGATGGTTTTAACTGTTTTAAATTTTATTGTAAATTTTTAAAGAAACCTTTTTTTTATCTGTGAGCTGCCTTGGGACCCTTTTGGGAGAAAGGCAGCATACAAAGGAAATAAATAATAAATAAAATGGAAGAAACTGAGGGATGGGAAATGACTGCAATCTGTGAAGGACTGTGGGGGGGGGGAATAACAGACTGGAGACAAATCTACTCTGTGAAATAGTTCATGAGAATGAGGCTAAAAATTATATCTTGTATGTTGCTGCCAAAACATTTCAGTAACTGAAATGCATTTGAATGTATTCATCACTCAATGAGCTTTGAAACATTTGCTGAAGGCAACAGCAAAGCTGAACAGCTTGGATGGCTATACCATACAAGTCCTGTTCCCAAATTTTTAACAATCCAGCAAATTAAGTTCTCTGTGAAGATAAAGGATATATTTAGATTTTAGTTTAGGAAAGTCAAGTTGTGAGTGTAGTCTCCCAAATGTGCATACCTTCTACTAAAGAGACCAAGAGCACAATACTCTGTATCTCTGCCCTAAAGGAAGTCCTGTTGAGTTTTGTGGAACTTGCTGTCAGGTGTCCCTGTACAGATTCACTACCTTACAGTCTTACAGTATGAAGTTTATTTACTTACAACATTCTCGCAATTATTACTATAATATTTCACAATATTCTAACAATTATTTTATTTCCAGTTTAGTCAAAAAGACCATCCCAAGCAGTTTGCAGGGACTCATAAAACAAGGCCACAGAACTCATGGCAGATATAAAACCATGAAGGAGCAACTGTGTCCCTAAAGCCATGCCTTTTAGTAAGCACTGTTCAGACTAGACATATTTGAAGCGAGGAGAGTGGCCATCTGAAAAGGAAGATTATTATTATTTATTAAGATTATTATTATTTATTATTATTATTTATTAAGATGGGGCTCCTGTATCTTTAATAGTTGTGTTGAAGAGAGAATTCCACCAGGTATAGCTTGTCCTCTCAGAAGAATTTCTTGTTTCACACTGAAGCTTTCTGTTTTTTACTACCATCATCTTTGTGAGAGGAATTATAATTCCCAGTGCAAATTAAGTTATGGAACAATAACTATCCAATAACAGAGTTTTAATTTTAAAAAGAGTAAAATGTCCAAGGTCTTGCTAAGCCTTTTCTGACTCCATCTAACTTGTATCTTAACTCTTTTGGGAGGAGAATCCTATACTCCTTTATGAAATCTTGTGGCTTCAGAGTGACAACCATATAATCTACAAGAGG